CTTCTAAGGTCAGAATAGAATGAATATAAATTACTAACTTGACAGGTAACGGGACTAGTTTTCGAGCAAATCGACTCCAAAATTGGCCAAAATGAAAATTTTCAAGTCAGATTAGCAAGTTTCAAAGTCCAAATACTTTCTTGTTCTGTTGGCGCATGCTTAACGGGTGGTGCCGTGACCTTCTAAGGTCAGAATAGAATGAATATAAATTACTAACTTGACAGGTAACGGGACTAGTTTTCGAGCAAATCGACTCCAAAATTGGCCAAAATGAAAATTTTCAAGTCAGATTAGCAAGTTTCAAAGTCCAAATACTTTCTTGTTCTGTTGGCGCATGCTTAACGGGTGGTGCCGTGACCTTCTAAGGTCAGAATAGAATGAATATAAATTACTAACTTGACAGGTAACGGGACTAGTTTTCGAGCAAATCGACTCCAAAATTGGCCAAAATGAAAATTTTCAAGTCAGATTAGCAAGTTTCAAAGTCCAAATACTTTCTTGTTCTGTTGGCGCATGCTTAACGGGTGGTGCCGTGACCTTCTAAGGTCAGAATAGAATGAATATAAATTACTAACTTGACAGGTAACGGGACTAGTTTTCGAGCAAATCGACTCCAAAATTGGCCAAAATGAAAATTTTCAAGTCAGATTAGCAAGTTTCAAAGTCCAAATACTTTCTTGTTCTGTTGGCGCATGCTTAACGGGTGGTGCCGTGACCTTCTAAGGTCAGAATAGAATGAATATAAATTACTAACTTGACAGGTAACGGGACTAGTTTTCGAGCAAATCGACTCCAAAATTGGCCAAAATGAAAATTTTCAAGTCAGATTAGCAAGTTTCAAAGTCCAAATACTTTCTTGTTCTGTTGGCGCATGCTTAACGGGTGGTGCCGTGACCTTCTAAGGTCAGAATAGAATGAATATAAATTACTAACTTGACAGGTAACGGGACTAGTTTTCGAGCAAATCGACTCCAAAATTGGCCAAAATGAAAATTTTCAAGTCAGATTAGCAAGTTTCAAAGTCCAAATACTTTCTTTTCTGTTGGCGCATGCTTAACGGGTGGTGCCGTGACCTTCTAAGGTCAGAATAGAATGAATATAAATTACTAACTTGACAGGTAACGGGACTAGTTTTCGAGCAAATCGACTCCAAAATTGGCCAAAATGAAAATTTTCAAGTCAGATTAGCAAGTTTCAAAGTCCAAATACTTTCTTGTTCTGTTGGCGCATGCTTAACGGGTGGTGCCGTGACCTTCTAAGGTCAGAATAGAATGAATATAAATTACTAACTTGACAGGTAACGGGACTAGTTTTCGAGCAAATCGACTCCAAAATTGGCCAAAATGAAAATTGTCAAGTCAGATTAGCAAGTTTCAAAGTCCAAATACTTTCTTGTTCTGTTGGCGCATGCTTAACGGGTGGTGCCGTGACCTTCTAAGGTCAGAATAGAATGAATATAAATTACTAACTTGACAGGTAACGGGACTAGTTTTCGAGCAAATCGACTCCAAAATTGGCCAAAATGAAAATTTTCAAGTCAGATTAGCAAGTTTCAAAGTCCAAATACTTTCTTGTTCTGTTGGCGCATGCTTAACGGGTGGTGCCGTGACCTTCTAAGGTCAGAATAGAATGAATATAAATTACTAACTTGACAGGTAACGGGACTAGTTTTCGAGCAAATCGACTCCAAAATTGGCCAAAATGAAAATTTTCGAGTCAGATTAGCAAGTTTCAAAGTCCAAATACTTTCTTGTTCTGTTGGCGCATGCTTAACGGGTGGTGCCGTGACCTTCTAAGGTCAGAATAGAATGAATATAAATTACTAACTTGACAGGTAACGGGACTAGTTTTCGAGCAAATCGACTCCAAAATTGGCCAAAATGAAAATTTTCAAGTCAGATTAGCAAGTTTCAAAGTCCAAATACTTTCTTGTTCTGTTGGCGCATGCTTAACGGGTGGTGCCGTGACCTTCTAAGGTCAGAATAGAATGAATATAAATTACTAACTTGACAGGTAACGGGACTAGTTTTCGAGCAAATCGACTCCAAAATTGGCCAAAATGAAAATTTTCAAGTCAGATTAGCAAGTTTCAAAGTCCAAATACTTTCTTGTTCTGTTGGCGCATGCTTAACGGGTGGTGCCGTGACCTTCTAAGGTCAGAATAGAATGAATATAAATTACTAACTTGACAGGTAACGGGACTAGTTTTCGAGCAAATCGACTCCAAAATTGGCCGAAAATGAAAATTGTCGAGTCAGATTAGCAAGTTTCAAAGTCCAAATACTTTCTTATTCTGTTGGCGCATGCTTAACGGGTGGTGCCGTGACCTTCTAAGGTCAGAATAGAATGAATATAAATTACTAACTTGACAGGTAACGGGACTAGTTTTCGAGCAAATCGACTCCAAAATTGGCCAAAATGAAAATTTTCAAGTCAGATTAGCAAGTTTCAAAGTCCAAATACTTTCTTGTTCTGTTGGCGCATGCTTAACGGGTGGTGCCGTGACCTTCTAAGGTCAGAATAGAATGAATATAAATTACTAACTTGACAGGTAACGGGACTAGTTTTCGAGCAAATCGACTCCAAAATCGGCGAAAATGAAAATTGTCGAGTCAGATTAGCAAGTTTCAAAGTCCAAATACTTTCTTATTCTGTTGGCGCATGCTTAACGGGTGGTGCCGTGACCTTCTAAGGTCAGAATAGAATGAATATAAATTACTAACTTGACAGGTAACGGGACTAGTTTTCGAGCAAATCGACTCCAAAATTGGCCAAAATGAAAATTTTCAAGTCAGATTAGCAAGTTTCAAAGTCCAAATACTTTCTTGTTCTGTTGGCGCATGCTTAACGGGTGGTGCCGTGACCTTCTAAGGTCAGAATAGAATGAATATAAATTACTAACTTGACAGGTAACGGGACTAGTTTTCGTGGAAATCGACTTAAAGATCGGCCAAATTATAAAAATTGAAATGTCGAAATTTAGCGTCAAGAATATGGCTTAGCACGTATGTTGATGTTAATGTAGTATAATAGTGCTGAGTGAGACTAATAAATTTAAAATTTAACATAAAAGTACCTAATTATGCTGGCAAAAAGATGAGATAGATATATTAAATTTTTGGTGTTTTTTTGTATTTATTGGTCGAAAAATTGATTTTTTTATGTTAATTCTTGTATTTTAACAAGTTTAAACGAATTCCCATGTTTTCGATGTATTTTTAACGCGTATAGCACAAAATAGCACAAAATCGGCGATTGGGGTAACTTCATCCATTTAGGAGGCTTTTTCAACCATCATCCTATCCTATAGGATAGGCTAACTTCACTTTATGAAGAAAAGGTGTTTTCATTTCAACATTGCACTTTGCATGTAAACATACTTATAGCATATTATATGCTGTAATGCATTCCATTGTGTGGCATTTCACACCGCGTAACAATGGAAAAGGGGTGAAACAAGCCCTTCCAGAAATCAAGCGTATGAAACTGTAGAATTTTTTAAGGTATGCAAAATTATGAAACAATTGTTATGAACAATTGTTAAGAATGGCACATTGCAAGTAAGTGGAGCTAGAAAAATTGGCAGCATAAATTAGCAATTCAAGCTCTAGATATGCAAAATTGCGAATAATGATTTTTCTGTAATATGAATATTTTTCTAGTGTTATTGTGATATTGAAATAAAAATGAAGGAAATTGTTCTCCAGTCGAGTTGGACAAAAATTTAGAAACCGACACTGTTCATGACTGAAGTGATAAATGTACACGTCAGTGACGTGACGTCACTCTGGAGGTTTTATGTAAGGGCTTTAGAATGAGACAATACAAGTCTTCTAATTGCTTTCATACTGTAAAAAATATGTTCAAAGTGCAAAAAACAGTAGCCTAATTTTGTACATCATATTTTATGAACACCATAGGTGATTATGCCCATTCATTAGATTGAAGGATACAAAAAAATGCATGAAAATCAACACAATTTCACAAATATAACGCATTTATTTTAATTATGTAGATACATATGTAATTATTTATCAGGATCAATTTAATCAGTTAGATTATATTTGCCTAGCTGAATTATGAGTCGAGATTTTCCTACCATATTCTCTTATCATGTCAGGCGTATTTGAAATTCAGATTAATAACCATGGATGATGGAATGTAAACGAGCACGGGAGTACAAATTTTCACTGTATTTGCGAGATAATCGCGGATTAGCGAATGCAAATAGATTAAATAATTCGTTAATAAATACTTTAAAAACCTATTAACATGTAAAAGTATACACTCTAAATAAGCTGGTAATAAATTGTCACAATCCATGTTTGTCACCCTTTGGTAACAAATTTCCTTAGCATATGCATTTAGACTAAACATCTCAAATTAATTTCTTAGTTTGTTCATTTCATTGAGTCCCAGATTAATTATCATTTTTTTAATTACAAAAATTGGCACCGTTTGATAACAATGCCAAATATTTCAGCAAAAAATTGAAAATTAAAAAAAAATGTAAATTATATTTATATTTTTTTTTAATTTTCAATTTTTTCAATTTTGCTGAAATATTTTGCATGATTAACGATGATGTAGCTCCTGTATTTTTTTGTAGTTCAAATTCACGAAGAGTTTTTGGATGTTTTCTAAAATATATTACAATCATATAATGAGTCGAATTGTGATCTCGGAAACCTCCGTGACTCCAGTATACTGCAGTAGGTCCAACCAACATCGAAGTTTTCCTTAATCAAATTCAAAATCAAATTCGCATGTACGTACGTATGCTGAATAATTCGTGTTCATTTTCATAAATATTTTGTTTTTAAAAAACATAAAACATAATACAGATAAAACAACAAAATAAAATAATCTTTATTTTGCCCCCAATTTATTTAGAGTTAAGTTTGTGAGATACATGGACATTGATCAAGTTTATCTCGACTTGAATAATCTTCTTGATAGAGTACAGTCTTGATAGTGTAGTAGGCAAGACAAGAAATGATTCAGTTTAATGTACGTACTTTTTAAATATGCAAATATCACGGAAACCAGGAAGTTAATAAATAATTGTCAAATACTGGGCGAAATTTTCACCTTGTGTGCGTAAGCATTACCGCTTGGGTAAAGATTTATTATTACAAATCTGGTAAAGTCACACATATACTCCTTACTTGTATTGATTTGGTAGTAACTTTTTACCGGATTGGTAGTAGCTTGTTTCTGAGTGGTCAATTACCACAACATTACTGAACGGTAATGCCGGTCAGTAGTGATTTAATACCAGTTTTCTAAGAGTGTACCAATGATTATCGACGACTTTTACACTGGATGTGATACAAACGTTACTCGCAGCTATGTAATGTTAGATGAGTTTGAGTCTCTTGGACAATTAGTGTTTTTATTAGAATTCAACTCGTAACCTATTCTGCAGCGCAGTAAAATATAAATTACAAATACTTTTGTACTTTTTCTTTGTCTCTGTGATAATTTTGTTATCACATTATTCAAAGCGCATTATGATTTCGGTTTACATAATGACTAATTGTTGGCAAAGTTTAGTTTTGATATTGGTCATGAACCTCGCGTGTATTCCAGTTCAAGGTCAGGAAACATCTGAAGGTAACGTGGAAAGTTCAAATTGAAATAAGGACAAATTTAACATAGAAATGCAAAAGTAATTTTTTTCTGAATATACATAAGTACTGTTTTCAAAATATCTGTATACAGATGAATGTCCAGCCACAGAATATACAACCACTACAGACGGTTCAACTACTACAGAACAATCAACTACAGATAGTTCAACTACAGGTCCAACTACTACAGAAGAGACAACTACAGGTCCAACTACTACAGAAGAGACAACTACAGGTCCAACTACTACAGAAGAGACAACTACAGGTCCAACTACTACAGAAGAGACAACTACAGGTCAAACTACTACAGAAGAGACAACTACAGGTCCAACTACTACAGAAGAGACAACTACAGGTCCAACTACTACAGAAGAGACAACTACAGGTCCAACTACTACAGAAGAGACAACTACAGGTCCAACTACTACAGAAGAGACAACTACAGGTCCAACTACTACAGAAGAGACAACTACAGGTCCAACTACTACAGAAGAGACAACTACAGGTCCAACTACTACAGAAGAGACAACTACGGGTCTAACTACTACAGAAGAGTCAACTACAGGTCCAACTACTACAGAAAGAAAAAGTAAAAAGAGACAACTACAGGTCCAACTACTACAGAAGAGACAACTACAGGTCCAACTACTACAGAAGAGACAACTACGGTCTAACTACTACAGAAGAGTCAACTACAGGTCCAACTACTACAGAAGAGACAACTACAGGTCCAACTACTACAGAAGAGACAACTACAGGTCCAACTACTACAGAAGAGACAACTACAGGTCCAACTACTACAGAAGAGACAACTACAGGTCCAACTACTACAGAAGAGACAACTACAGGTCCAACTACTACAGAAGAGACAACTACAGGTCCAACTACTACAGAAGAGACAACTACAGGTCCAACTACTACAGAAGAGACAACTACAGGTCCAACTACTACAGAAGAGACAACTACAGGTCTAACTACTACAGAAGAGTCAACTACAGGTCCAACTACTACAGAAGAGACAACTACAGGTCCAACTACTACAGAAGAGACAACTACAGGTCCAACTACTACAGAAGAGACAACTACAGGTCCAACTACCACAGAAGAGACAACTACAGGTCCAACTACTACAGAAGAGACAACTACGGGTCTAACTACTACAGAAGAGTCAACTACAGGTCCAACTACTACAGAAGAGACAACTACAGGTCCAACTACTACAGAAGAGACAACTACAGGTCCAACTACTACAGAAGAGACAACTACAGGTCCAACTACTACAGAAGAGACAACTACAGGTCCAACTACTACAGAAGAGACAACTACAGGTCTAACTACTACAGAAGAGTCAACTACAGGTCCAACTACTACAGAAGAGACAACTACAGGTCCAACTACTACAGAAGAGACAACTACAGGTCCAACTACTACAGAAGAGACAACTACAGGTCCAACTACTACAGAAGAGACAACTACAGGTTCAACTACTACAGAAGAGACAACTACAGGTCCAACTACTACAGAAGAGACAACTACAGGTTCAACTACTACAGAAAAGACAACTACAGGTCCAACTACTACAGAAGGGACAACTACAGGTCCAACTACTACAGAAGAGACAACTACAGGTCCAACTACTACAGAAGAGACAACTACAGGTCCAACTACTACAGAAGAGACAACTACGGGTCTAACTACTACAGAAGAGTCAACTACAGGCACGGAAGAGTCAACTACAACTCCAACCACTATCACAGATGGTTCTGTAGGTACACCAATAACACTCAAACCAGCGGCTAAATTTAGACAACCATGTATAACCAGCACGACGGTACCTGTGCCAACGACGAATTCTACAACTATGACTCCCACAACGCCTAGAACTACTACTTCAACACCACCATCTTGCCGCTCGTGCGATGTCAAATGTATAGCAACGGACGCTAGAAATCGAACTTGGGATCCATGTCCAGGGGAGACCCAGACCAAAAATTGTTCCGAAGGTGCAGATGGCACAGAAGTGTGGACTTGCGATTGCGACGGCAGGTTTACGACGCCTCAACCAAATGATTCTGGATGCAAGTCCCGTTGGTTGAAAGAAGCTTTGGAATTGGCTGAAAATATACAAGACCTGGTAAGATATGTAATACTACATGGTAAATAAATTGTAGTAACTTGTTACCACGCGGTGGCGTGCATTATCGGTGTGACTTACCTCACCTAGCAAAGCAAATGCTAGGTGACAATTAAGAATTTCCTTTGCATTTTAATTGGTTGACAGTCAACCAATTAAAAATATAACTGGTGACTACAAAGCAACTGTAAAATAACCCATTCTTAACTAACAATGGTAGGCAACCAAACGCAGTGCACACCAAAGCATTACCAAAGCGGTAACCGTACCGTTACCAATTTACCGTGTACCATACGGAGGCTCCGCCACTAACACGTGAACGTTTTTGACCTTCAATTACTGGTTGAACGGCTTGGAGTTTAGGTCCCGAACATTTTTTATGTGAAAGCCCTTTTCTCGAGCTACAAGTCGGCATCGGCGATTTCAACTTCTGTACACTGATTTGACCATGGCGAAGTCAACTTTAGACCACTCGTCTCACGAAACTTTCCAAACTCCGTCAAAAGTTTTTGGGTGGCGGAGAAAAGATTTTGTTTCAGATATCCAAAGCCGAATAAATCCATGGGACTTACATAAGGTGACTTAATAGGTATTTCACTATCCTGGATGATTGTTATCCCGAGTCTAGCTTTTAAGTCCTTGGCGTAATCCAAGGTCAAAAGGGCGGTGTGTGATGACGCTGCGTCGTGATGAACTACCACTTTTTTTGTGTCCTTGCCATATGGTTTTGGGACATGAATCTCCAAAAGCGGTTTTAAAACAAAGTCAATGAAGTACTTCGTAGTTACCTTCACTTTTTGTGGAACTTTGATAAGTGGGAGGACACCACGACCAGATAATGCACCAACCACCATTAACTTGTTGCAAAAGTTTTCCGTGTGCGGGATGGTCAATCTTCTGGAATTATTTTCTTCTTTGGTTGTATAGTAAATTTTTCTATGACCGTTGGTATCTTTAAAGAAAATAATTCTTCATCCAACGACACTAGAAAGTCACTTTTATCTTTTGTCAGGTAATTTATATAAAATTTTTTGCAGGTCAGACGACGATTTTGTTTATGCTTCTCAGTCAGCTGATGGACTCGGATTTTTCTTCTTTTTTGCTTCTGCAAAATTTTAATTGCTCGTCGCACACTAATCTATGACACTTTGGTTAGACGTTCCACTGCTCTCTGGGGTGGAGGGTTGCCCTCAGAGGTCAATAGGTCAATTTTCTTAATCACGGGCCAAATTAGCACTTTTCGGACTCGGGTATGAGGCATGATGGTTGTCCTTTGGTACGAGCTTGTCGTTGTTGACCTTCATTTATCAGTACCTTATGTATCCCTGTTTTCGAAACTTGTTGTCCTTGAATTTTGAAGTGGTTAATTATGTCTGTGTACGAAAAATTAAGTTTGGAAAGTGTTTTTATGGTACCCTCTTACTCTAAGGTCAATGGTAGGGTCATTTTTGAATCTAGAGAGCTAATTTTTTGCTCAGCCCTTGTCAATAATCACATGTCCCTATGCTCAAAATTTGGAACCGAAACTCCAACCCGTTTCGGAGCAATTCAAGAGTGACCGCGTTCACGTGTTAGTAGCGGATCCTGTATACGCTGTGTTGTACTAAAAAAATCATTTATGTACTAGCTTTTGCTGCTTATCATAGACAGACGTTGAAAATGTGATGCAGCACATCAATCAAAACATTACGGAGATGATCCGTGGGAACACGAGGCCAAACTATTATGGACATGAGATTGAAGACGTGCTAGTAGGTCTGCTTCCCACCGTGGTACAAAAGGCTAGCAATTTAACACATTTAGTGGAAGAATTTAAACCCATTGCTGACGACGTGGTGAACATTACGTACATCGTTACACAATTTTCCGAGCCTTGGCAGGGTCTAGACAATGTAGGTCTTATAAAATGCGGAACAATTCACGTGCATGCTTGTAATCTAGTAAACTAATATCCCGAATCTTAAATGTGTATTCATGCAAGCGTTTACGGAGGTTTACAAATACAGAATAGGTATAATCCAAAAAATGAACTTATCCTTATCAATGACAGCTTTGAAAATTAATTCTATAAAACTTGCACAGTTTACTGATAAATTTTACAAAAGTGCAAATTGGAATTTGAGCGAGAAAACCGGGTGTATGCAAATCGCAAATACTGGACAATTTGTAGTTCTAGGTACTCGAAAGTTTTGAATTTTGCTCATTGCTCGAGTACATGAGTGTTAATGTACATGAATACATAAAAAAATCGTCAGTAAATAGCACGCCGATGTTAATAATTAATATGCACAAATAATGCAAAATAAGTATTAAACCACACCACGATGCTGACTTTTTACATTTTATACAAATCATGACATCAATTTGTCCAATCAGGGATTAAATGCATATGTACATATGTACAACCCTTTAAATTCTATCCACATCTTTCAAAGCGTATCTTGATTTCGCCGCAGTTTGTCAACGGATTATAATCAGTTAACAATGTACAAATATGTATGCATATTCGATATACTTGACGCATTGATTACAAACATTCTTGTGAATTTTCTCCCTCCTGAAACAAACTTGAAAACCCTTAATAATATTACAATTGTATAATTTGCATTTTCGCCCAGAAAAACCGATCCCGTTTCGCGACAATATTGCTGCAAAATATAGAAAGTGTATCATTCAATCTCACCGGAATATCTTCCTGCGATCCAACTTCATCCACACGAATGGAAGAATTTATTCATCACATTTATTTAAATGAAACATATTTTGTGACTTCTGCTCTGATTTCAAATGATGTCAGTGACGATCGTCCCGAATTTCCGAAATTTAACATGTCGAAGGGTACGGTCCTTAGGCTGCCTCCAAATTGGGGAAGGGAAATTTCCGGCAAAGTTGACTGGACGGGGTCATTAATTGATGCTGAATATGCCAGCTACATTCTTCCACTTCAGTAAGTTCTTAGGTAAAATAATTATTGAGAATTTTTCACAAATTTATATGATGAAGGAGAAAGTATTTCATAAAATTTCACCGTCCTTTAACAGTGTCAATTTACAATTAGTTATTCTGCAAACCGAAATTAACAGTAGTAATTTATCATCTCATTGCATTGTATTCCTAAATAAATTTCGATTACAGATCTGAAGGAAATCGAGAGACAATATATAATGGAAATTTGATATCTTTTACCGTCTCAAGAACAAGATCGTCCTGCGACTCGATAGACGAGGATAGAAAAGTTGAACTGAATTTCACAAACGGTATTAAATATGAGATCTTTTGAAGATGTCAACTTTTTTAAATAAGATTTTTTTTCTAATTTCCACCTTCAGCATAAAATAAAATGCTTTATCTAACTTTTCATTTTCAGGGCCCGGTGTCCAAATAATATTTCCCCACCGTGTGGAAGCCTGGGGCGACAAAACGGCCAATCTTCATAGAGACTTAAAACCTGGCGAAGAAAGAATGGCCGCTTTGGGTTCAGCAAGATGCGTATTTTGGGACACGGTTAATTTGTAAGTTGTAAAAAAATGAACAAAATATACATAAATAATTAATCTCCTCAAATTAGAACTTGGTCAACGGAAGGATGCAAAGTTATCGCGTCGACACCATTTGAGACAACTTGTGAATGCGACCATTTAACTTCATTTGCCATTTTAATGGATCTACACAACTATCGGGTAATTAATTTGTGTCTCTTTAGATATTCACTTCACGAGAACTTTCTACATGCAAATAGATTAGCAAATTGTTACAAATTTGGCAATATTAAACCGTTACAAAATTTCCCTTCAGTATTTTCAGTTTCTGGTTTTTGTTAGGGGGTGGACGTCGCCTTGCAATATTTGACGTATACTTTCTGCCCAATTTCTATCGTGTGCTTGATCGTCTGCGTCTTCCTGTTCTCAACGATTGTCGTTGCACACAATGAGCGGATGCTGATAACCAGGAATCTTTGTTGTTGTCTCATCGTGGGGAATATATTTGTCATCACGACGTTGAACAATCCCAGCTTCATGACCCCGGTATGGAAATTCGTAGATTCGTAGGTTTAATTCTGCATGATGTAATTTTTCCTATCAAAATTCATAATTCTTGTGCCAATTCACTCCAATATTTATAATCCGGTAAACTCCGGTCTCAAATGTTCCGACAATTTGATTACGAAGAAATATGTAAATATGTACAAAGCTATAATGCAGATTAAATACATACGTCCTTTGTTTTTCTAACACCTGCAATTTTAAGAGCTGTTGATCTGCAATAGGCTTTATAAGTTAGGTTTGTATTCCAATTTGCCGAATTTCCTTCGTAATCTTTGTTAACATTTGCCGGTTTATGAGTTTAATTTAAATATTTGCATACATTATTTAATTACATGCACTTTTTATCATGTTCAGACTGCCTGTTTCATCTTTGGTTTCTTGACACACTACGTTTTCCTGGCAGCCTTCTGCTGGATGGCGTTGGAAGGATGGTACTTGTACAAAGTGATCATCAACGTCTTCAACAACGTACTACCGAGGCGTTCCTGGATATACAATTTGATTGGATATGGAGTACCGCTAGTCATGGTGGGAATTACACTGCTAATTGGGTACATCTTTGGAGAAGGGGATGTTTACGGGGGAGAAGTGTAAGTGTTGGGGGATTTACTTTCATGGAAATATTTATTACGGTGTAAAATCTGAGACGAAATACAGGATAAAAATTTACTAAAATTTACATTTCTGAGGTTTTTTAGCAGCGTTTTAAGTTGGTTTACAAAACTTAATGATTTACACTATTAGAATTTGCGAGTGGAATTGGCGTGTATACTGAATGACGTCATTGACAAGTTACCTAACAGTGTCTCTTCAAGTTTTGACGTAAACCTTGCAGATTTCAGGAGTAAACTGTGAAAACTACCATTTCTTCACAAACTTGAAGTCTTCAAGTTGAAGCGTGACTTTCACCTGGATAAAATTATTTTATAAAATTTGTGTATTTCCTTCTAGATTTTCTTTTATTTTGCAAAGTTGAGTACACTGCTCAGATCAAGTGAATGCTAAATTACTTATTTGAAATACATAGGTGTTGGCTAGCAGGCTCATACATTTGGGCATTTAATGGTCCCGTCTTAATTGTAGTGGTGGTAAGATACTTAAATAATTGAAAAAAATATTTCAGTATTTACAGATTACTTACGTAGCGATAACTAAGAACTTTATAATTCTTTAATTCTATTAAAATTTCCGGTAATACATGTAAGAAATTCTGCGGCGCATACTTATTTACAATGTGCCGACGTTCTTTCGATATCGCTACTTTACTTCTATGTATTTTGTGGTTTATTGTCTTTTTTTGTTAAATTTAGGCGAATATCAGCATATTGACGATATGTATGGTGACAGCTCACAGGGTTCGGAAAAGTAGACAATTTCCCATGCTTAAGCGTCGAGTTTCTTCTTTATCGTGAGTTCCATACTAAACTAGCTAAAAAAATCTGTAACGATTTAAATACTCTGTTCCTTAATCCATGGTTCCTTACAACCCTGTAAACTTTGAAAATTTTTATTAAAAATTATTTTACAAACTAATACAATGAACTGGGTAAAATTGATTAAAATGTACCAGAACTTATAACGGAAAGCTTACAGGTTTACAAGTGGCCGAGTAAATTGTTTCTTAAAGATATTATGGTCGAGGAAGCATTAAAATTAGAGTCATTTTTGTATACATTGCTTATGTAAAATGGCCCTAATTTTAATGCTTTGACCAACAATTTTAAAAAACTTTGTAGGACTTGGGTTAAAGGATGTATCGCATTAAGCATCCTTCTCGGCTCGACGTGGATTTTTGGCTTCTTTGCCTTGATACCAGGAGCAGAATTGGTTTTCTCGTACATTTTTGTCATCCTCAATGCATCTCAGGTAAATATTTTACTATTCATTTGGTCATGTACATAGTTTGTAGTGAATACTTTTACGAAAGTAACACACTTTTGCAAACATTTGTGTACATTATCTTACAAAATTTGCATGTCCAAATCCTTCACAGGGGATATTCATCTTTGTCTTCAATGTCATTTTGAACAAAAAAGTGCGTCAAAAATGCGCCTCAAAACTGCTTCTCACAAGATGTGGAAAATATTTACCAAAATCTTGTTTAAGTGGACCTTCTTCTTCTACGTTTGCCACATAAAACGCAACCAACTTCCGGCGAACGTTTCCTGGGTCGAATACTGGAACCATGAAACCATGAAGAACCATGAAGTGACAGTTTTTCATCATTCTCCAAGTCGGCCGTCAGCAAAAGTAACCTTATCAGCTAATCTTTTGCAGTGATACTTACATATTAATACAGTTTATCGTTTATCATGCAACTGGCTTACAAAAATGCATAATATAAATTTCTAAGCCTGACTATTTTAATTAACTGTACAAGTATTTTTGTATGTTGGTAATTATTACCGAATGTGTGAGGCTTTATTACGTTGATGTAAATATTTTAACAGAGCACGAATTATGTATCAGTAAGATTAAAATTCCTATACAAATGTAAAATTTGAACTTTGTTGAAATTATTTTTCATATTTTTATTATTATTTTCGGTGGCACCGTTCTTACACCTGTTAATTGCGAATATGCAAATATTTTGCCAGGAACTTATTTTGCATGCATGCACAAAATGTCAATTCATAATGCAAGCATAGGACAAGAACTAATACAAAATCTTGACCAATTTAACGGTGTTATGCACTGGATACTTCCTCTTGTAATTTGATCACTTATCCCACTTCGAACCAGATAAAGGGTCCTCTTTATTCACCATAAAAAATCGATATAAGCCACCGGTTAACCTTTCAATTATGTATTTGATGAAATCATAATATAAATGCATATTTCATGTTAAGGACTATATTTAAAAAATATAATGTACTGGCTTCGGAGAATGTAATAATTAATTAATTACTGTAATTTACTAATCGTTTTCATATTGCAACATAATTTTAAAATCAGGATGAAAACAGAGCCTAACTTCGTTGACATCATTTACATGGCATATGCCCTTTAATTATGTTGAAGGATACAAAAAACTAAAGGCCTAAATTTAATGCACCACTTAACTAGCTGAAAGTTCCCACTATTTTTGGCTGTACATCCCACTAGCTGAAATCTTCACTATGTCGGTTTTTTTAGCCACCCAATTAGCTAGTGGTAGCCACTCATTTATCTGATTTCTCACTTAAAGTGATTATGCAAAGATTCTCATAAAAAGCCCAAAAATGTTGATTCCCGTCTCCAAAATCTGCGCTACTTCATCCTTTGTAGCGTCCGTCATACACACCTACCCAGTACCGCCAATTGTTATGTCCAACGCATTCCGCATTAGTTAGAGTTGTTTTAGAGAGTTGTAATATTTTTTATTGCAATCCCCATGCAATTGTCTATCAGAAACCATGTTTCGAAATTTTTTGTAACTCAAGGTGGCAAAATGATAGCTCGGAAGAAACAACATGTTGCAATTTTTCAGCAACATATTGGCGAAACTGGGTTCGCTACATTAATTTATGTATGTATTGGATGTAACAATTGGCGGTACTGGGTATTACAGTACATATATCTAAAATCTAAATTAAGTACATTACAATTGTAAATGTGGCATGCATTCACCTTGACATTTTTATTCAATGTGGTCGCAGTGGCGCAACTTGGGGGCCCCTAGGCTGACCAAAAAAGTTTTTATGTTTATGTGTCTTTTTGCATTTTAGCATTTAAGATAAATATTTTTACATTCGAAAATTCGAAACAAAATATTCAGATTTTGGTTACAGAAGCAAATACAATGAAAGTATTAAACGTTTCAAAATTATTGTTTCAAATATTTTTTGACATAAAACTTGTCAAAAATATGCATACTTATGTAGATATTTGATAACCGTTGGATTTTAAAATTCAAAGATAAACATATTGATTTTTAAAAAATACTATAAAACTTACAATGAAGAAAGTTTAAGACCAATTAAATTCGACGATCAGGAGTTGCTTTACCTAATATATTTTTTTTAACTTGTAAATTATGGTTGGCAGAAGTGGGGGCCCCCTTATGTCGCGGGGCCCCTAGTTCTTGCCTACCTTGCCTATATGCTAATTGCGCCACTGTGTGGTCGTGTTATTTCATGGTCCTCTGAAGTTCTACCATGAGGGATTTGGCCAGCAGAATAATTCTACGTTTTTCAGAACATGTTTTTGAATGGCAGCAGAGGTATGTGAGGATCTATCCTTCTTCGGTAGTATTTTTTCCTTTATACACCTATTCTTTACTTTGTTTCAAAAAAATCTCAGCTTCAGCTCTACTTTCAAAACTCCGTATTTTGAACCAAACACTAATCTTACGAATTTTTTTTGCGAGGTATATTCTCATCTTCAGATATGCTTATCAAGATTGTCACTCCCTTTATCCCAATGTACCAACTTGACAACTTGAGAACAACCCATTTTAAGTCTAATAGCGAAGTTAGTTTTGGAAAAAAATTGTAGAGAAAAAAATATGGTGAATATGTAAATGAAGATGAGTAACCTTTTGGTGATAAAATTAACTTTATATAGTAGTTTTTGGGCACAATCACTTTAAGTGAGAAATCAGATAAATGAGTGGCTACCACTAGCTAATTGGGTGGCTAAAAAAACCGACATAGTGAAGATTTCAGCTAGTGGGAGGTACGGCCAAAAATAGTGGGAACTTTCGGCTAAGTGGGGGCCTAAATCTAAGCCAAAACTAAAATAAGCTATGTAGACAAATTATACGTAAATAAATATTATGTAGATATTGCTCCACTTATCAAGGTCAGTTATTCAAAAGTGGTATGCATTTATATATAACTGAATTCATTAAATTTTTGTAGTTCTTATCATGTCGCGATTCTGAAATTCATCCAACTGGGCACGTTAAATCATTGTAAATAAGCGCAGGTTCAAAGGCGCAGTAGATGATAGAAGTGTTTTTACAGTTCTGAACGAACACGATGTATACACTTTTTATTTATTTATTATTATTTAGAGAATGTAGCGGCAGATTAGCGAGAGTAGATTAAGGACATAGTTTATTAATATAATATTAATCTCATCTACATACATATCTACATACATATATGGACAAATTTAATATCACCGTCAAAAATATTTACTCAAAATAAATTGATAACAAAAAGGTCACTGGATGTGGTTATCATGAAATTCTTCCGCTTTGATGACCACTTGCCACAGCTCATCAGCAGTGAAAAAAATAATTCCTGCAAAACCTTATTGTAAATTTGATGGAAAATTTCATCTTGGAAATTTTGGAAATTTCGTTGTCAATTTATTTAGAGTGTAGGTTATTCAATACGGACAAGTTTATCAGGTTTATCTCGACGTATCTAATCTGCATGATTAGTGGAGTGCAAATGACAAATGAATTACTTTACATGTTTTTTAATATGCAAATAAATATCACGTATGTACAAAAATTAGGGAGGAATAATTCCTAGTATTTTCTGCGAATACTGTGGTACAAATTTGTGACCTACATAGATTGGCACTTTACAGGAACGCCGCGCTGGTACGTGGTACGATTTAGTAGCTACAATTATTCAGGAATTTCAGATTTAAAAATGAATTTCTCGTTATTCACAGACAAATACGAATTTCTACAAAGTTATTTTTCTCATTAGAAAACAACTCAAATCAATTTTGTACATATATTGCCTTACTGGACGTCAATTTTTGTTATATTATTCAGAGAGTTAAAGTTCAATTAGCATAATGACAAAGTGCTGGAAATGTGTAGTTTTCATATTGGTCATGTACCTTGCAAGGGTTCAAGTTCATGCACAAACAACAAATGAAGGTAACATGGAACGTTTAAATAAGAAAACGTTTTAATGTAGAAGTAAAATAAGTAACAAAAAATAAAATAATTACATTTTCTGGGTACTCTGTTTTCAAAATGTACATTTATAGAAGATCCAACGATGTGCACAACTGAGTTTACAATAGATCCAACTACTGAAGGTCCCACAACTACAGAAAACGCGACAACAACTACAGAAACCCCCACGACTACAGAAACCCCCACAACGACAGATAACGCGACAACAACTACAGAAACCCCCACGACTACAGAAACCCCCACAACGACAGATAACGCGACAACAACTACAGAAACCCCCACGACTACAGAAACCCCTACAACTACAGAAAACGCGACAACTACAGAAAACGCGACAACAACTACAGAAACCCCCACGACTACAGAAACCCCCACGACTACAGAAAACCCCACAACAACTACAGAAAACCCCACAACAATGGCATCTACAAGTGATTCCACGATTACAGAAGAGCCAACTACGGAAGAGTCATCTACAGGTCCAACTACTGGTCCTACTTCCGAGGAAACCACGACCACAAATCCAACTACTGGTCCATCTACTTCCGAGGAAACCACGACCACAAATCCAACTACTGGTCCACCTACTTCCGAGGAAACCACGACCACAAATCCAACTACTACAGAAGAGATAACTACAGATCCAACAACGGAGACGGACCCCAGTTCAACAGTAATAGCTGGGGTCAACTTTGAATTACCATCCAACCGTCCAAAGATTATATGTGGACAGCCACCCACCAGCCAGCCGACTAATTCAACAACGGTGACTCCCACGACGCCTAGAACTACCACAACTACAACACCGCCACCTTGCTCGTGCGATGTCAAATGTATAGCAACGGACGCAAGAAATCAAACTTGGGATCCATGTCCAGGGGAGACCCAGAACAAAACCTGTCCAGAAGGTTCGGAAGGTATAGAGATTTGGGGTTGCGATTGTCAGCGCAGGTTTACGACGCCTCAACCCGACGATTCTGGATGCAACTCGCGTTGGTTGAAAGATGCTTTGGACATGGTTGAAAACATACAAAACCTGGTAAGATATGCAATACAGCATGATAAATGAGGGGTAGTAATCTGTTACTCAGCGGTGATAAGTGTATGTATTATGCGCGGGTGTGACTTGATTGTAAAGATTAGGCTTTACCGAGCAGAACAATTGTTTAATTCAATTGTTTTGTTTAACTTTACATTAAAGTTTGCTGTTTATCACAGACTGACGTGGGAAATGTGATGGATAACATTAAGAACAATATTACCGTCATCACTGGAGACAAGCCAAATTATCATGGACATGAGCTTGAAGTCGTGCTAACAGGTCTGCTTCCCACCGTGGTACAAAAGGCTAGCAATTTAACAAATTCATTGGAAGAATTTAACCCAATTGCTGATGACGTGGTGGGCATTATTTACACTGTCACGCGATTTCCCGACCCTTGGCTCCGTCTAGAAAACGTCAGTCATACAAAATGAAAAGCAATTCACGTGGACGTTTGTAAAGCAATAAAATACAGATTGTATTCTGAATCTGAATAATCTGAATTCTGAATAAGTACGTATGTATTACATACGTACTTATGTATGCAAGCCTTGTCACAGATTTACAAATCTTACACCCGAAAAGTAAACTTATTTTAAAAATTGTAAACTTGTCAATGGCAGCTTTTGAAAAAAAATTACAAAATTTTCACACTTTACTGGTAACGGGGCAAATTTTACAAAGTTGCAAATTGGAACGTTAAACTCGTGCTGATTATGAGTTTACAATGTATGTATGCATATTATGCGTAAACCTGACGCGTGGATTACAAACATTCGTGTTAATTCTTTCGATGGTAATCCGTAACCGATCCTATCCTACGGATCGGTTAATTTAGGATACGGATTACCATCCCTATCTCTCGCCATTAATTTTAAGCCCGTAATACCATTAATTTGCATTTTCTCTCAGAAAAACCGATCCCGTTTCGCGACAACATTGTTACAAAATATAGAAAGTGTGTCGTTCAATCTCACCGGAATATTTACCTGCGATCCAACCTCATCCACACGAATGGAAGAATTTGTGCATCACTTTGACTTTAGTGACAAATATTTTGTGACTTCTGCTCTGATTTCAAACGATGCTGGTGACGATCCTCCTGAATTTCCGATGTTTAATATGTCCAAGGGTTCGGTCCTTAGGCTGCCTCAAAACTGGGGAAGGGAAATTTCCGGTAAAGTTGACTGGACCGGGTCACTAATTTCTACTGAATATGCCAACTACATGCTTCCACTTCAGTAAGTGCTTAGGTAAAATTACTAATCATAAGAATAATTAGAGCTTGATTGAGCTACTCGGACACCCCAATCCATGTAAAGTAATTTTTCTTACAAGCTTTTCCAAATAAACAGCCGCCCATGATTTCTGCAGACGGTATCCCTGCATCCTGAATGAAAGTCTTCGATACCTTGATAAGTTTGGCAAAAAGTTTACTTTTAGTTGAGTAAATGTTGCACAATTTTATTTAAAGTGTGCCAAATTAGCTTTTCTACGAAATGAAATCAACAGTACTACAAAACATTTATTTCGGAATCGTGCAATGCGATCCTTTAGTATAAACGATCTCACTGCATGATTCGTAAATAAATTTCAATTTCGATTACAGATCTGAAGAAAATCGAGAGACGATATATAATGGAAATGTGTTATCTTTTACTGTCTCAAGATCAAGAACAAGATCGTCTTGCGACTCGACAGATGAGGATAGAAAAGTTGACATGAATTTCACAAATGGTATTAAAAATGGGGGCTTTAAATAAATGTTACAAGACATAGCGTTTTACAGATTTAAATAATATTTGACTTTTGCTAATAAGATGCTGTTCAAATTCTACCCTCAGCATAAAAATATTGCGTTTTAGCAAACCTTATTGATTGGAAATTTGCATGTTCAGGGGCAGGTGTCCAAATAAGATTTCCCCACAATGTGGAAGCCTGGGGTGACAAAATGGTCAATCTTCACAGAGATTTAAAACCTGGCGAAACTAGAAAGGCTGCCTTGGGTTCGGCAAAATGCGTATTTTGGGACACTGTTAATTTGTAAGTTTCATAAACTTATAAGAAAATGAAAAAAATATGATTAATTAATCTCATCAATTTAGAACTTGGTCAACCGAAGGATGCAAAGTTATCGCATCGACACCATTTGAGACAACTTGTGAATGCGACCATTTAACTTCATTCACAATTTTAATGGACCTGCACAACTATCAAGTAATTAATTCATGAACATTCACTTCCAAATTTCAATGTACATAGATTTGTAAAAAATTTATGTACATTTTTTATCATAATATGAAGTGGTTGCAATTTACAAAGTTACCCGTTAGTATTTTCGGTTTCTGGCTTTTGTTAGGGGGCAGACGTCGCCTTGCAATATTTAACGTACACTTTCTGCATAATTTCTATCGTGTGCTTGATCGTCTCCGTCTTCCTGTTTTCAACCGTAATGGGTGTCCAAAATGAGCGGATTTTGATAACACGGAATCTTTGTTGCTGTCTCATCGTGGGAAATCTATTTGTCGTCATCACGCTTAACAATCCCACCTTCATGAGTCAGGTATGACATTAGTTTGATTCTGGATATTATTTTTACTTATCAAAATTCATAATTCCTGAACCAATTCACTCCGATATTTATAATCCTGTGAGCTCCAGAAAGTTTTGACAATTTGATTACGAAGGAATATTACAAAGCTATTGTAAACTTATACAAATGAAATGTGCCCTTTGTTTATCCCAAAACTTGCAGTTTACAAATATGTATCCGCGTGAGTTGTTGATTTACAATAGATACTTTACACAGGTTTTTTACATGAGCCTAATTTTCTTCGTAATCTACGTTTGTATGAGTTTACTGACTGTGTTTCAAAAATTGTTGAGTTGTCTCATTACATTTACTTACATACATACTCGTCTTCTTCAGACTCTTTGTTTCATCGCTGGTTTCTTGACACACTACGCTTTCCTGGCAGCCTTCTGCTGGATGGCGTTGGAAGGATGGCACTTGTACAAAATGATCATCAGCGTCTTTAATAGCGCAGTAGCGAATCATTTCTGGGCGTACAATGTGATCGGGTATGGAGTACCACTGGTCATGGCTGGGTTTACACTGCTAATTGGGTACATTGTTGGAGAAGATGCTTATGGAGGAGAAGTGTAAGTACGAGGGGGGTTTACTTTCACGCAAATATTTTTAATAGTGTAAAATCTCTGAGACGAAATACGGGATAAATATTTAAAATGCGTCTTAAGTTTAAGTTACACAGTTCACAAAACTAACAGCAATAATTGCTACACACATTTTGTTCCAAATACAATTTTCAAGTGAAATAGGTGTGAAGATGGGTATATATTGACAATATAATCCTTCAAGTTTTCAAGTAAACCTTGCAGATTTTAGTAAACTGTGAAAACTTTGCACCATTACTTCACAAACTTGAAGTCTTCAAGTTGAAGGGTGACTTTTACCTCGATAAAATTATTTTATAAAATTTGTGCCCCGTATTTTATCCGAGGTTTTTCTATTATTTTGCAAAGTTGAGCGCACTGCACATATGTAAATATAACGCGAATTGTGATAAATTACTTATTTGAAATACACAGGTGTTGGCTAGCAGATTCATTCATTTGGGCATTTAATGGTCCCATCTTAATTGTAGTGGTGGTAAGTTAAATAATTTAAAAATTGTGGTAATCATAGATATACTAAAATTGCTAAGTTCGTAGTGAAATTTTTGTCATATTGTCTAAACGTCTATATAAGACGGTCAAAATTTAAATTTCGACATTTGGCCTCATCACCGTGACCTGCAACGCCCACCTTCGAACTTAACTTCTGAAACATGTTGGTGAAAACCGCATATCGAAATTCGAATCCGGTATAAGGTTATTGTGGTGGACGGACGTATAGACAAGGCATTCGAATCATAGGGATTCTGCAACGCATGCTTCTTTCTTATCTGCCAAAATTCTTTCAGCATCGCTACTTTTCCTCTATCTGTTTTTTGATTTATCATTTTTTTTTTGTTAAATTTAGGTGAATATCATCATATTGACAATATGTATGGTGAAAGCTCACAGGATTCGGAATAATAGACGATTTCCCCTGGTTAAACGTAAAATATCATCTCTCTCGTAAGTTCCCCACGAGTAATTAAACGGTACTGTACACTTTTACTTTTACACCCATAAATTTACAATTTAAAAAAAAAACTTTCAGGTCGTGGGTTAAAGGATGTTTTGCATTAAGCGTCCTTCTCGGCTCGACGTGGATATTTGGCTTTTTTGCATTGATACCAGGAGCAGAATTGGTTTTCTCGTACATTTTTGTTATCCTTAATGCATCTCAGGTAAATATTTTACGATTTATGAACTATTTAGTGTGTTAATAATTTTACGAAAGCAACACAGTTTACAAACATTTGTCTTATAATAAAAATTTGCATGTCTAAATCCTTCACAGGGAATATTCATCTTTATCTTCCGTGTCATTTTGGACAAAAAGATGCGTCAGAAATGCGCCTCAAATCTACTTGCCACACGATTTGGAGAACATTTGCCAAAATCTTGTTTAACTTGGACTTCTTCATCCGCTAATCCCACTTCAAATGAAACCAACTTAAATCAAGAGCACGGAAACCATGAAATGAGAGGTTTTCATCATTCTTCAAGTTCAAGTAAGGCATGAATACACGAAATGCAGTTATCTGATCAGCCACGTTCCAGTGATGACTATATATCAACACAGTTTACGGGTTTACCACTTAACTTACGTATGCATGTACGTGTTAAAAACATACTTACTGTTAATTGCTTTTATTTTACTACTTTTATAAATTGGGAACAAAATTATTACTGATTACCGCAGTGGTAAAGACTAGGATGATAACATGATGATTACCATACGATAATAAAATTTACTACCCCAACAGTTTCTCATCTCATTGAATTGAAAGGGGATCAACTTGAGATTTGTTGAAATTTCTAGTATTGCCGACAAAAATTGTGTTAAAAATTGTGTCAAACATGTAACTATAATTTTACAAACGGAACAAAATGATGTCCCTCTCGATTGGTGAATGTTTTGTACTTAATAAATAATTGTACATCCATCCATGTACACATAAACAATGTCTGATCTTCTTCTTCATCTCTTCATGATTCCCCATCTAGCTCACAAAATACCCAATGCAGGCCAAGGACAAGAACCTACAAAACATTTTGACCCAAACCTTTGTTTACTGTGTACTTTTGTAATTTGATCCTTCCAGACCAGATTTAGGGTCTTCTTCATCCATCAGAAGCCGGGATGAGCCATTAGTAACAGAGCCTTGCCATTATTTGACGAAAACACAGGATAATGCATGTAACATGTGAATGGCTACTTTTTAAATAATAAATTTGAAACTTCTTTTTCCTATTTATCATCTCGTCGGATTTACGAGACTATGTATTGCTTGCACTCATGATATGTACGTAAGTACTCGCTTTATCTCTACTAAAAGACCCGTTTTCCAACAGTGTTAAAGGGACAAAAATCCTTTGTCTACTAACTAGGTATACAAGCCGAGTGTGAGTGAAACCTAAGAGTATGACCCAAGACAAAAAGGTGAAAGGTCATACAGGGATTGTGTGACAAACTTAAAAATTTATTGGACTAAAATTTTATATGGCTTGCCGTAATATTGCTTTAACTCAAGTGAAGTTTTTCACACTTAGAAAATAACATGTAGGCAAAATATTTCCTAGATACTTCGGGAAAATTCCAATTTTGCGTGAGGTCATGAGATCGAATTTGATTAAAAAAAAACAATTTATCATAATAGCGGATGGTCAAATTTACGTAAAATTGTAATAAATATGTATCATTACTCGACTATCACTTGGGATCTATTTCTAGTTCAACCCCTCACAAAATATCTCAACTTTTCCAAAATCCCACATCTGTCACTCTTCCTTCCTACTCTTCCAATTCCATCTTCCACCCCCATCAAACCAGACCAAGCTTCCCTTCAGTCCTAACTTTCCTTTCCACACATTGTTTTCACAATTTATACGACAACAACTCGGTTAAAAAAATACATAAATTCAAAAATTCCAATTCATTTGGACAATTATTACCCAGAGAAATCCGTAACCTTGTAAAAGTTTTCATAGAAAATCAGGTCTCAAATCTATTAGAAGTTAACCAACTCTTACTTATTTTGGAAACCAATTTTACACCCAGATTACAAGCACCTGAGTAAATTGCGTCAACAAATTTTTCCTCCAAAGTGCAAATTTTACATACATAAATGTCCCTCTAATTATGACTTATAACGATTACGACAAGCGTGAGTTTTGGCCCGAACTTTTCCGCTTTTTGTTGGTACTTCTTACCTACGCGGTTATCGCTTTCGTATTTCTCACCGGCCTGCAGGAATGCATATCTTATCTGAACACTTATCTGACCAACCTGATCGGCGAGAAAACTCGGAAGAAAGCCATCGTTTTAAACACGATACGCGCCCGTCGACCCGATTTTTCCGATAAGCTCGACTTTCTCCAGACCTACGTTATCATGCCGTATCTTAATCGGGCAGTTTACACAAATTCGGGACAAGTCGACAAAGTGCCGCGTGGCCTGGTTATCCACGGCGGGGACAAAACCGATGTCACCAACATGATCAAAGCCGTTGGGAACGAGGTGCTTGATCCGGATCGGAAACATGTGCGGTATACGAGGTGTGACATTTCGAAGGATGCGAAACTCGTTGAATTGCTTCAGGGTGAGAAATTTATGGAGGAAAATGTCACCAATTTGGTCAAATATGCGGTGAAAAATCAACCCAGCTTGATTACCATGACTGATCCGCGCATGTTGTTTGGAGTTCAATGGACAAATTGTGAAAGTAAGATTTGCATTGTTAATTTGATATGATTCAGGATAATTTTGTACATTTAGTAGAATTATTATACACAATCTTGTGCTTATCAATCTAGATACAAATCTTTGTAGTATAAATTTCGCATAAAAAATTTGGGACATTTGTAACCCAGAAAATTTTACTCGAGTTTGAAATTATGAAGGGAAATCAGTTCATAAATCTATGCGCCTGTAGCCATCGCCAAAACCATCTCTTTATTTTGCAAAACCTTGCAAAACGAATTATTTTCCAAAGTTTGCACAGTTTGCAAGTACCCGAATGAATATGAAAATTGTAAACTTGGCAAACTTTTGAGTTTCATATGAATCATCTCAATCATAAAAATTGCCTACGCATTCAACATTTAGAATTAGTGAAATATGTCCATAAAGCTTCTTCGGAAATTTAAAAAATTTGATTTTTCATTTCAGCTCATCTGCCCATCCTGATAGAGATAGTATGCCAAGAACTAGCAAAACTAAGGCTCACTGACCAAGTATTTGTTATCTTCAGCGTGGACAAACTTAAACAAAAACAACTTTCCTATGATATTTTAAAATCCTTGAAGTTTCTCCACCTCCCAAAATCATGGACCACAGAAAAAGTAAAAACCTTGCTAATTTCGGCAACTTCAAAATGGGTCAGGGCACCTTTGTGCGAAATCTTGGACATGATGACGGAAAACTGTATGTCTTTGGATCAGAGCGTGATGGAGGAGGAAGTAAAACGACTCACTGAAACCGCTTATGGCACCTGTTTAGACAGATTTATGGAGTTTGTTGGATTTGATGAAGCCAAGACGAGAATTGGTAACGGAGAGATTAATCCATCAGTGGAGGATTGGGAGAAAGCGTGGAGTAAGATATGCCCACCGACTGAAAAATCCGAAACTATTGAAAATTTGGAACCTATTCAAGTATGCCCACCACCAGAACAATTGCCATCAATTCAACCATGCACACAAATGGAAAACGCCGACGTGAAACCCAACACAGAAGAAAATACTGCTGATATTTTGCCAACTGTGGATATCAACGACTGGGTAGAAATTTGATCAAATTTTCAAGAAATGAGTTGTATGTATGTTTTACAAGAAATTTCAAATTGTAAGCTTAACAATTTCTAAACTTTAAGACAAATAGTTCCTAATTTCTTGTCTTAAATCGATAAGTACTTTAATGTATGACATAGACTGAAAATTTGAACTTAATTAAACGTACTTATTTATGAACAAGACTGATTATGGTATTAGTGGATACTTCAAGTTGTTTTCATCTTCTAGCTTAATAAGAAAATTCACTTATTCAAAATGGATTAGATAAAGTATAGTATCAGATTTCAGAGTTATATAATTGTCAAATTGTGTTATTAATAACAACAAAAAAATATGTACTTACATAGAAATTTTAATTTTAACATTTTAACCGGTTTCCACTTTATTTCCTTAATACACTTTTTTTTATTCCTAAAGCTATATTAGCAAATCTTTGGGTTAATTTAAATCAGCATTATGAATATTGAATTTTGTAATTTCAATTTCGCTTTATAATGCAAATAACTTAAATTTTCTAATTTTAAAGCTTTTTCTTAGTGAGGCAAATACCTAATTCGTGTTGTATTTCAAAAATTAAATTGAAATTATGAAATAAATTAAATGGAACAAATACCATATTTCCTAATAATTTATACTTTTAAGGCATCCACCACGTCCGATTTGCTTGGATCGCTTCGTTCATAATACTTTGCAAAGTATTGTTTAAACTGAAATAAGAAATTTTCATGTAATGAGTTAATTGATACTTAGGAAATTCACCCGAACGTTTGTAATCCAGTAAATGATTTACCGTTTGAAAAATTATTAGGAAATTTTTTTAAAAAATAAGAGATTTTGCACAATACATATTTATATAGATTTGCAACTCAATTTTCCTTCATAATTTTTGTGAGCTTGTAACAATCACTAATTTTATTTGATTACAACCGTTCACGTGAATTGTCTCAACAGGAAATAATACTTCACATCTACATAACTTGAGTACCTTATTAAACAAAAACTTTCTCTTATAATCCACAAGAAATAAGACCAGAGTGGAAATCATGGCAAAACTCAACACAGCCCAAGAATACATTATGTAACGCCTCATTGCAGATGAATCCATCTCCCAATCCTTTGTTATCAAATAAAATGCCTTCTCTCCAATGAGCATTGTCGCCGCGTTGATATTTACATTTACGATGATCGGCATAACTGATGCATCTGCAATTCTTAAGTTTGAAACGCCACGAACTCTGCAAAGAGGCGAATATTTTAGTTTAACAAAATTAAAGAAGTTTTTAAAATGATTTTTGATTATTTTTTTTGTAAATAGTTAAATATCAACGTCCGTATTAGGATTAAATGTAATGCATAAACTACCGTATTGGGTTGTAATTAGGTTATATGTACACATGACGAAAATGCATCATTCAATGAAGTCGAAATGTATCTAATAAGTCAATTTTCGACAAAATTGCTCAACTGATAAATATTTCATTGGGTTGAAAGTCCTCATTTGTTTTTAAAAACGTGGAAAATTTACAAAGTTTACGCAATTATGCAAATATATTTACGCAGGTATGTCTAAAACTTGGTATGAATTATTGTCTTTCTGAAAAACTTACTTCAGATTTGAATCAACCACAGCCATCGGATCACTGCTTGCCCCCATTTTGCAAGTTGACGATGGATGATACATTGTTCCTGAAACAGGTAATAAAACAATTGGTTAAAAAGAATTCCAACAAAATAAATTATCAACATTTTACTTGTCACATGACGCAAATAGCATTCATAATAGGCATCCGATTTTGCCTCGTGTGATTCACATCCAGGAAACTTATTTTGTATTAAAGTTGAATTGTATTTCCTGAAAGCGTCCGTTTCTTCGAATAATTTCACAAGAAATTTGAAACCTGGATAAGAAAGAAGGATGGTAAATGAAGAAAGTATTATTGATGTTTGTAAATAGATGAATATTAACGCCAACTGTATAATTTTGCAAAATGTGGACAAACTTAATAAAATATGTAGATAATTCTGCACAGGTCTTGAAAAAATTGCGAGAGTCATTGTCTAAAAAATTAAAACGTTAAACTATTTTGTCAATTTTGGTAACAAAATGGTTAATTTGGCAAAAAATGTGGTTTTACAAATTTTCAAAAATTATGAAAGAAAATCAGCTAATTAACGTAGATCGTGGTCGTCTCTCTACTTTACAAAACTTTGCGTGAATGCGTATTTATGTATTTGCAATAATTTGCATACCATCAACCATTGCTTTAACATCTTCCCGTTCAGAAAACAAGTTGGGATCAATTAGTGGAGCATCAAACGGATTATTTGACCTTAATTTGACCGTGCCCCGACTTTTAGGATCCCGTCCAAGGAACATGATTGCCCACATGGCGTCCTGATTTTCGCCAACATTTTGCATATACTTGTCACAAATTCCCTCACTTAAGGGACCCAGCACTTTGCAATTATTCCCTCCAATTGGCATGTGATGGTAAATTATATCCGGCCAGTCTGGCTCGTCGTGCGTGCTGATTAAACCGTTTCCTTGCAGCAAATTCCAGCTGAGGGGTCCAGTACCGTTTGTGACGTAGTCTATGACCGACTGCGCTGTAAGATCGCGTTTTTGAATGAAGGAGACAGAATCATTAAGAAGAAATGGTCCAATTGTGGAAACGACGTGGTCAATGTAGTTACTTCCAACGCCAGGGAGATTTATTTTCGGCTCGATCTATGCATTAAGATAAGAAATGAAAAAAATACAATTTTTATGCTAATTTAGTACATCATTTTTGAGAAAATCTATTTAATAATTCCATTTTTCCCAAGGTTTTTGAATGTGAAGCACTTCACTCGAACAGGTCATTAGGTCAACTGCATCTTTTTAATAATTTTCGACCAGTTTTAAATTCATAAGCCGAATTCAGAGTAGAAATGTTACACATTTTAATAATATCTGATTTTTTTAATGTGCAAAAAATAAATTTTCGAAATGAACTTTAATCATACTAATTTTTTTCAGCTAAATTTACTTTCGAACCGGAAGGCTGTCGATTTATGTAAGATATGCATTCGGTGAAAGTCAGTACAAAGCAATATAACAATGAATTAACATCAAAAATATCACCTTACCCCGACAGAACGTAAATGTTCACTCGGTCCAATTCCAGATAGCAGCAACAGTTTCGGAGAATTATAAGTCCCCGCAGATATTACAATTTCCCTTTTCGCCTTGGCCGTAAAAACTTGACCGAATCTTGTATAAGTCACGCTTTCTGCTCGGCCAGCGTCCCCACTGAGATTTATCTTGGTTACTTCCGCGTATCTTAAAACGTCCAAATTTTTCTTTTGTAACGCTTTTTCCAAAAATCCATGATAAACTTCCCACCGTTTCCCGTCCAAGCCGGAGACATCAACTGGAACAAAAGCTTAAAGCCGGAGTTTTTTGAATTATTTCGAAAATAAAGTGAAGTAAATAAATGTAGCGTAAGTTTGCAAGCAAGAAAAACGCTTATTTTTGCAAAATTATTTTACAAAACGTTAAAAAATTGATGCTTTTGATCACGATGCGTTACTGGTTTTACGGATTAAAAACACCTCAAATTTCATAAGTACTTGTATAAATTAATTAATTTACTGGATGTTTGTATCGCGTCAGGATCTTCGTACGGAAATCCCATCTCAATTCCGGCAGTGATCCATTCAGTTTTCAAAGGATGGAACGTCTGCCGAGTTACATGAATTGGACCCAATTCTCCGTGATATTTTGGCGCTGCAGAATTATTCATACCGCAAATTAAGCCACAAGTTGTGTAATTTCATAAAATTATTCTGTCAAGCATTTTCAGCAAAATTAGATACTTCGTGCCAATTACATACATTTTGCAAATGATCCATCATAATTTTCCAAATTTTTAAAGTAAGGCAATAATTTCTCATGACTCCATTCCTCATCTTGCGTCAAGTTAGCCCAGGTGTTAAAATCGTTTGGGTTCCCACGCCAAAATGCCATCGCGTTCAGGTTGGAAGTTCCACCCAAGGATTTCCCTCGTGGTTGCGCAATTATCTGTGTCGTGTCATAAATATATTTATGAAATCATTAAGTACATTTCAAAATTTTGAATGCAATGCATGCACTCAAAATAAGTGGGTAACACAATTTTCATCGAGTTTGAACAATTTGACGTCCTACCGCGTTGGTAACAATTTGTCACTGGAGGAGCGATACAATTTCTAAGTCAAATTTTTTACCAAACTACATTACCACCAACCGGTGATAGATTGTTACAGCATTATTTAATTAAGCAAATAAATGTTACATTATTCGGATAAGCCAATGCGCAATTTTTTTGAGGCACGGTTTCAAGCATCCAATCCGAATCGGGATGTCCGACATTGTCCAACCAAAGGAATGGGATGTCATTTATTCCCAAAGGATCTCCTCCAGCTTCGAGGAGTAAAACTGTTAAGAAATCAATTGAAGATAGTTTTCACTCTCCAACTCAGGAACTGAGATTTAGTAACAAAAATTTTGTAAAAAAAGTAAGTAAATTCAGAACCCTCATAAATTTTTAAATGCTTCTGCTAATTTTCTTGTAACAAACAATTTTATAAAATGTACAACTCTAAATCCAACAAGAAAGCGGATATGGGAAATTACAAATAAATATTAATGCGTTAAATCATTTTTCAAAATTCCACGCCGAATTTATATTTTTGAAATAAGTAAATTCAAATAAACTTTACTTGGCTTAATTTGCATGCAGTTGGAAAAATAATTTCATAAAATTTTACGCAGTTTACAAAATTCTCTGCCTTACCAAAAACGTTTTCATTCTCTGATAACCTCGACGCTACAATTCCACCGGCAGATCCAGCACCAACTTTTCATATAGATTACAATTATTTCGATAATGGGGTAGTTATCTAATTATTTACATGCAAAATAAATATTGAAGTGGTAGAAAATTTCAGTTTTACTGGTTTATTGTGCCGTAATAACTGATTTAAAAAATCGTAAAGGAGTCGAAATGCTCAAAATGAGTTGTTCTAATCAAACAAAAAATGAAACTAAAAATGAAAAAAATCACAATTACTAGTGGTAGCTTAAAAAATATGTTTTTATGTCAAAACCGTTCATGATCTTTCACCCTTTTTCACATACAGGTTCTGAATCCTTTTACCATTTTTCAGGGCTACAATCATGTAAAATTTCAAATTACTATATACGATAAAATAAACTAGTTGAAATGAAATTCTCTACTAAATACTCCAATATTTATTTTGCATAGTGTAATTGTCATTCATCTACTTACCAACAATGTAGTCATATTCTGCCTCAAAACCCAGTGCAGGATTGGGATTAAATTTTTTATCAAGTTCAAAATTTTTCGTGGCCTGATGCAACGTTATATTTGCTATAACCGTGTACAACAAAGAGGGCGAGATATTGTTCCATAGTGCATTTATTAATAAACTATCCATTCCAAGGATTAATAGGTTTTTGCTAAATTCTTAAATTTACTATTTTTTTAAACGAAATTCCAGGATCAGTTTGGAATATTTTATTTGAATTAAATAATATTTATTTAAGAAATTCACACGGATCTTCCAATTAGTAAACTGGGAAGAAATGGGAGTTCTTTGCTTTGAGAAGAGATATGCAAGAAAGGTACAGAAAATGTACCTGAATAATGATTAAATTAATGTAATCACCGTAAAATTATAGAGATTCCACAAGTTTGTAGAGATTACGAAGGTAAATCCTTTTAAAAATCTTTCCAGGAATCTAAAATTATTTTATGAACCTTAAAAACCTACGGGGTTACAAACATTAGTCTTAGTCTTAATTGTCCTAGCATACAAAAATGGTACGGCATACGTATATACGACAAATATCACCGGGTTTTATATTTGCGTGAAATTCATATTTTTCCGGACACCATCAAAATTTATTACTTGTCATTACTTCATTAATCACGTCGAAGCTGCATAATTTGACAATAAATTGAGAATGTATCATAATATAGACCTGGAAAAAGATGTCATGTCGCATAATTGCGAGATAATTTATCACACATCGGTTTAGTTGCCTTGCACCAAGTTCCACCTGTAATCGGAAGCAATTGTACCAACTGCAGTTAATTGCAGGTACATTTAATGCGTTGCTTCAATATTGTCAAGCTGACACAATAACGCATTTATCAATGTCTAAAAACAGAATTACATATTTGTATTAAAAAAATGTTATTCACATTTACGCACAAAAAACAGTTTTATATGTTATGTTGTGTTATGCTATTTAAGTTATGTACTAAAATAAGAGTAAATCGTATATAAGTTGTATTGCAAGTATTAAGCGGTACGTTAATACTTGCACTAATTTGAATTTCTGGTTAATAAAAATAGAAAACCAAATATGCGTATTGATCGGAAGTAACAAAGAGGTTGAAATATGTATATGCCCAAGCTACCACACTCGTCATGAGGATCTCCCAAACTCATCGCCATCGTCTAAGGGGGACATGTCGCAGTGACGACCTCCTTAGGATAGAGTAACGATGTATTGATTACGATGTCAGCATATAAATCTCCTATGGACGTCGTTGAACCGATATCCATTGGATATTGTCGATAGACATTCTACGTTTATCGTCTCATGTTGTCCATTAATGAAAAAAGCGCGCATTTTTACAAGTACTTATTTTGTTTAAGATAGATATATACAATGAGATCGTGTTTTTTCAGCTTCCTACGATTTTCGAGTTTGATGGCTTAAAATTTGCGTAATAATGAGTAAATCAATAATCCGTAATAAAATTGGGGGCGCGCTTAGCCAGTTTTCGAGATAAATGCCAAAATGTAAGAATTTTTTGCAAATTTTGAGATATTCAAGTTTTGACTGAACATTTGCTTTAAAATGACTGGAAACAATTTTTATAATTATTTTGGACTAGAATTTGGCCGCTGCCTTGATTTCTGACCCCAGTTTTCTAATTTGTTGAATATTGCAAAATAATTGCATTTTCGCTATTATTAATTAAGATAGTTAAGATAGATATATACAATGAGATCGTGTTTTTTCAGCTTCCTACGATTTTCGAGTTTGATGGCTTAAAATTTGCGTAATAATGAGTAAATCAATAATCCGTAATAAAATTGGGGGCGCGCTTAGCCAGTTTTCGAGATAAATGCCAAAATGTAAGAATTTTTTGCAAATTTTGAGATATTCAAGTTTTGACTGAACATTTACTTTAAAATGACTGGAAACAATTTTTATAATTATTTTGGACTAGAATTTGGCCGCTGCCTTGATTTCTGACCCCAGTTTTCTAATTTGTTGAATATTGCAAAATAATTGCATTTTCGCTATTATTATTAAGATAGATATATACAATGAGATCGTGTTTTTTCAGCTTCCTACGATTTTCGAGTTTGATGGCTTAAAATTTGCGTAATAATGAGTAAATCAATAATCCGTAATAAAATTGGGGGCGCGCTTAGCCAGTTTTCGAGATAAATGCCAAAATGTAAGAATTTTTTGCAAATTTTGAGATATTCAAGTTTTGACTGAACATTTGCTTTAAAATGACTGGAAACAATTTTTATAATTATTTTGGACTAGAATTTGGCCGCTGCCTTGATTTCTGACCCCAGTTTTCTAATTTGTTGAATATTGCAAAATAATTGCATTTTCGCTATTAGCAATCCACGATGGAATAATGTGGTTTTGGTTAGCATTTTAAGTTAACCCATAAGGTTAATGATTAAACGGACTCGGTAGTTGCTCATTCAAACTTTTGTAAACGAGAATGATGTTAATAGTTTGAAATTCTGTAAATTATTCTTCTGCGTTTGTAATTGTATTTTGCCACCAGTTGAATTTGGAGAAAGCGGTTACAGCACATTTTACTGCAAAATTTGAACGGAATTGGAATTCGAAAATAACGATTCCTTATATGCAATGTGGCCAATTTAAAATGTTGATATTGATGCAAAGTTTTGTTAACCACTCAGGATTTTGTTAATGCCGCGGCGACTTGTTAGTCACACCATGAAGTCCTGCACGAGCTTATCGAAACGCCAATTACGCCGTCGTATCGAAAAAACAGTTGCAGCAACAATTAACAATTTAGAAACCAGTGTTTCTGATCAGTCGACTGCCACTTTTTACCACGACCTAAGTGCCCCTGACTTAATTGCTGACTCATTCAACAACGACCACCAAGTAGAATTAGATTCAGAAATTTATGATATTATCGACGACGACGAAATCATATCTGAGCCGTCTTCGTCCGATTTCAGCAGTGATTCTGAAGTAGAAGATAACCAAATTAATGAAGAACTGCGGAAGTGGGCAATAGAGAATAATGTGACTAATTCTGCAACTAGTTCATTGTTGAAAATATTAAAAAAACATTCGTGTTTCTCAGAATTACCAGCCGATGCTAGATCATTATTGTCCACACGCCGTCATTTTATTAAGCGGGATGTGCTGCCTGGTGCATACGCACATTTTGGACTTGAGAATGGGGTTAAAAGTTATGTGAATCAATTAAAAGTTGTGCCAGAAGTGATTAGTTTACTAATTGGAATAGACGGAATACCAATTAGCAAGAGTAGCAAAAGTGAATACTGGCCGATTTTGGCATCAATATTCCAGGATAGAAACTATAAACCGTTTTGTGTTGGCATATACCAAGGATCTAGTAAGCCTAATGATCAGAACGAATACTTACAAGATTTTGTCGCCGAGTGTAAACAACTACTTCAAACTGGGATATTAGTGAAAAATAAGTTAATATCTGTACAAATTAAAGGATTCATCTGTGATGCTCCTGCTAGGGCATTTATTACGTGTACAAAATACCATTCAGGATTTTCAGCGTGTTCAAAATGTACACAGGTTGGAGAGAGGTACGAAAATCGTACCGTTTTCTCCGATAAAATTGCGTCTAGAAGAACTGATGCCAATTTTGGAAATTCAACATCGCTTGAAGATGATCATCATTGTGGATTTACTATTCTTTCTGAACTTGGGATTGGACTTGTATCAAAACTTCCTCTGGAATCAATGCATTTGATATATTTGGGCGTAGTGAAGAAAATTTTAAATTTGTGGATTGGTGGTAAAACAAAATATCTAAAGTTCAGTGCATTTCAAATTTCCACAATTTCTGACAATTTAAGTGCGTTAAGATTTCATATGTGCTGTGAATTTAACCGACAACCTAGGTCGCTTGTCGAACTACCGAGATGGAAAGCAACGGAATTACGACAGTTTCTATTATATACCGGCTTTATTGTGTTGCATAATATTTTGCCACAAAATTATCTGACACATTTTTGGTCTATCCACTGTGCTGCTACAATTTACTCTAATGACGAATTAATTGCAAGTTATGGTGATTATGCTGATCAACTTCTAAATTTTTTTGTTGTGGAATTTAGTGCACTTTATAGGAAAGAAAACTTGTCCTACAATGTCCACGGTTTACTACATGTATGCGAAGACGTAAAGATGTTCGGCAACATCAATAACTATAGTGCCTTTAGTTTTGAAAATCATCTTGGGATTTTAAAACGATTAACAAAAAGTGGACTTTCTCCTCTCTCTCAAATTTGTGGGAGAATTTCAGAAAGGGAATCCAGTTCGCCATCACACATTCAGCGACAAGAGTTGAAACATATTCATAGCACCGGTCCACTAATTAATGGGTATGGTTCCCCACAGTACAAAACATTTGTGAATGGAAATTTTATATTAAAAATTAACAAACGTGATCAGTTTGTACAAATGAGAACTGGTGAACTTGTGAAGGTGAGAAATTTTGCCACTGATCTGGAGAGCGGGGAGGTTTGGATCATTGGTCACGCTTGCCTGAAAACTGCTCCACTTTACACTTCACCGTGCAACTCTGAATTACTGGGAATTTTTACGTTTTCCAAATTTGGACCGTTGAAAAAGTTTCCGCTCTCTGATATTTCACGTAAATATTTGGTTCTACCGAAAACTGTTGGGATATTCGCCGCCCTCCCCCTCGTCCACTGTTAGTCAAAATGGTCTTCTCGGTGGTCCATTTTCCTGAAACGGATGAGGTGGAAGTGACCCCGGACAGTTGGCTGGATCGAGAAGAAGAGGGACGACTAAAATGTTGGTGGCCTCCTTACAAAAATTCAGACAAGGTGAAGACAGCAGTTAAAAATCAGTCGCCAGTAAATTTGGAAACTTGGAATATTTATAACGCTAGGATTCTAAGGTGTTTTGGTTAGTGAATAATTATTTCATTGTAATAAACTCATTTTCATTAATTTAGATTTCATTAATAACTAATTAGTTATTTATGTACATTTCTAGCAACATACGCAGCAGCACGCGAACACTTATCAACAGCAGCATGGACGTCAAACTTGGAATCTGAGGTTGAAGAAAATGACGAAGGAAGTAGGCGCAGTGCGCGCCCTCGAGCGCTGAACATCGAGTATGAAGAAAGTTTGTCTGGGAGCAGCGGTGAGCTATCATCATTCTCAAAACCTGCAGCGAAAGATAAGATGAAGGCGAATTTCCCGCCACCGCCCGTAATATTTACAAATCGGAGCAACGAGTCAAGCTTGGCCTTAACAAATCCTGGATTTGTATTGGCACCGGGCTCAGGTACGCTTAGTCGGTTGGATGACCACAATAAATCGAATGAATCGAGATGTTCAGGTAAATTGAGTGTTACTTTAAGGATCTGTGGGTTGATGTTGTTGAAGG